GGCCCTGGTCGCGGAATGCGCGCGCGCGCCGCCGCCGGGGGCGCCGCCGCTGCCGCCGCTGCCGGGCTTGGCGGCGGCGGGCAGCACCGTGCTGCGCGCGCTGCCCATGTCATCTCCCAGCAGCAGCTTGCCAAACAGCTCAGGCGACGTCTGCGCGCAAAGAGCGTGGGAAAATGCGGCGAGGGATGCTGATTGGGGCTGGGGAGGGTGTTCAACTGTGCACCATACGCCATGCAGTACCTAGGATGTAGCTGCAGTCAGACATGGACACATGGAGTGCGCAGCGTGAGCGGCGTGCTGCAGTGCGCACCTTGAGCAGCTCATCCTTCGTCCGGAGCCGGGGTAGCTTCAGCGTGGTCTTGCGTGTTGAGCTCATTGTGTTCGTCCTCAAGCTCGCTCGATGGCGGCCATGACACGCTGGCGAAAGGATCCAAGTGGACTCGCGGTCAAAGCCTCCCTACTCAATATGTAAGCGTGCCATGCTCGACTGGTATCAACACACGACGGATGTGATATTACTATTCAAGCATCCGTGCAACCAGATCGGTGAAGGACCAGTCAGCACCAGAGTGGCCCCGGCATGCAGTCACTGCGGGTCTCGCACTCATCAATAGCGCCCGATTTCTCGGTGGCCTGTCGCTGTAGCAACAAGTGCATAGATAATAAGCTAGACGTCGCATTGATTCCAGTGCAGCACCACTTCATCAGTGTTACCGCAGGTGCAAATCAGCGATGAACGCGGGGAGCCATGGCGGAGGGGGCACACCGAAATTTACTCGGCTATCAAAGGTCATCAGCGTGGTATTGTTGTCGCTATGCGGGCTCGGCCTGATCTACCCCGCGAGTCGGGGCTACCTGGCGCTGGTCCCCGGCAGGTGGGCTGCTCATTGACACTGTCAAATATCATCTGTTAGCTTCCGATTGGCTTTCGCGTCTGATCACGGCCATCTGCTTTCGAGTGTCGCCTGCCGGGGCGGGCTGCAGCGGTATGCCAAGCGGCACAATGTCGCAGCAATGGGCATGCTGAGGACCCCAGACGCTGGCAAGCCTCCGGCCTTGCATGCAACCACCACAGCAACGTGCCCGCGCTGGGTCACGTCTCAGCACTGGATGGGAATGGCGCTGCGCTGCGCCGTTCCCGCCCGCCTGGCGCCCCTCCCCAATGTCATGCAGGACGCTGCCATGCGTGTGGAACCTCGTGACCGCCTCGTTCGTGACGGCGAATCCTTTCAAGGCGCGCCCAGCTCACGGCCGCCGCTGCGAGTCAATCAGTGGCGGAGCAGGGGCCGCGTGCATGCGCTCCCTGGAGGCCCTGGCTGCGCAGCCGCAGCAGCACCTTGTCGCCCGCCCCGTCTTTTCCCGCCGAGCCTTGACCTTACCCACTCTGCCCCGCCCCGCAGGCGCTATTGGAGGTTCTGGCGCTGCTGCTACTGGCGCGCATTATAGAGCCTGTTTACGGCTCTACAGAGTTCCTGCGGCTGCTGCTGGTGGCAGCTGTGGCCAGCAGCACGGCCACCTTTGTGGGGGTTTACCTCGTTTACCTCACCAGCCCGGACAAGGACGGCAAAGCGCTGTGAGTGCCACTGCGGGCGTGCGCGATGCAGCGGCTGCAGCAGTGGGAGTTGCACGGGGGCAGTGTGAAGGTTGTGTGTGTGTGTGTGTGTGTGTTTGTGGGCACACGCGAGAGCGGAGGGCACATGTGTCTGTTGTGCAGGCGGCAAAGGAGGGCGCCAGCAGCCATCCATCCTCTGGCGCCGCGCACGCGCTGCCCTCCAGCGCTGCGCCCGCAGCAGGCCCGGCCGGCGCGGCCCTGCTCCTCGCCGCGCACACGTCCCCCCCAACGCCCTCCCCGGCGCTCCCCCTGTCCGCCCGGCCCCTGGGCCCGGCCCGCGCCCTGTCCCCGCAGCTACACCCAGTTTGGCGGGTTCCACGGCGTCGTGGGCGGCATGCTGGTGGCCGTGAAGCAGATCATGGCGGGGCAGGACCTCAAAATTGGGGGCGCGGCCAGGCTGCCGGCGCGGGTGGGCGGGGGACGAGACGCCGAGGGACGCGCGCCTGGCGGGCGCAGAGGGAGCGCACGCTTGGGGCCGCGGACGCGCCGCGGGCTTTGTCGGGGCGGGGGGCGCGCGCCCGCGCGTGCCGTCGCGCACCAGCCGCCTCCGCACCGCCGACGAGGCCGCCCCGCCCCCTGCACCCCCCCGCGCCCGCAGTACCTGCCGTCTGCATACGTCCTCGCGGCGTCCGCGGCGGCGGGCGCCCTCAAGGCGTGGACGTCGCTGCCGTTCCTTCTGCTGGGAACGTACTCCTCCTGGGTGTATCTGAGGTTCTTCCAGCGGCAGCCGGAGACCACCCTACGTGGGGACCCCTCCGACGACTTCCGTTTCAGCAGCTTCTTCCCGGACGCCGCGCAGGTGCGCGGGGGGCGGGCGGTTGTGGGCGGCGCCGGCGGCGGCGGCCGCTTGTGGGTGCGTCGGGAGGTGCAGGGGTGCACATGTCGGGCGCACGCGAGTCCCTGTTACAGATCGCGGCGTGTAAACAAGTGACCTCGACTCAGCAGCTGCATGGCACCGCGCGTTGCCCCATCCGATCCCGCCCCACGCCGCACCTCCGATGCGTGCTGCTCATCGCCGCCACCCCCGCCACCCTCACGGCCGCCCCGCCCCCCCTGCGCCGCAGCCGCCGATCGACGCCGTCGCGCGCGTCTGCAGCGCCGTCACTTTCCTGCGGCACTCGCCGGAGGCTGTTGCGGCCAGCGGCGGCAGTGGCGGCGGCAGCGGCGGTGCGCTTCCACTAGAGGCCCGGCCCCTCATCAGCGGCGACAGCCTGGATGCGAACAGGCGGCGCGAGCGGGGGGCAAAGGCACTGGAGGAGCGGTTGACAGCTGGCAAGGC